ACACGTGAAAGCAGCACTGTCCCCATGGCTCCTCCTGGTTCCTCCTAGGTTGCTGGCTGGTGACCAAGTCAACATTAATACAAGTGCAGCAAAACCAGATTCCTAACCAACTCTTCCTGATCCTAGTTCAAACCATGTACTTTCCTGCTCCCTACCTGTTCAAACAAAGCATCACACTTGAAAAAACAGTAAAAAGTAAACTTACAGACCTTCCTTGTATCTAATATTAAATAATGCCATATGGTAGAGGAGAAAATAATTTTGCTTTAGGGTAGTTTTCACAGAACTAAGTTGTGGTTCTTTGTTGCTATCATTAATAAAAGTCAATTGCCAATTACATAGGGAATCGCAAGTGACACCCTGAACGTCAGACCATCTAATGGCTCTTAGCTTAGTATCTGTACTCACTCAGCTGGGCAGGGAAGCCAACTAGGAGAACTTTCTGGGTTTATTTGTGCCCAAGAAACTCCCAGCCCTCTGCACCATTCAAGCAACCTGCTTCCTTGGCTCCCTCTCACCCTCCAAGGACGTCCACCTCCCCAGGCCACTGCCCGTGCTGCCCACAGCCTAGAAGCTCCGTTCCTCCTTTTCATTGTATTCATTCTAAATGGGCTCAAACTCCCCCTTTAAATGCTCTGACTGGAGCCCTTTCTGTGACACTCAGCACACTCAAGTTTGAGCTTCCAGCTTCCATGGCAAGTATCCGACAGGTCTGCCCTCCTCTCCTGGACTGTGAACTCCACGAAGTCAGCCTCTGGCACATCCTCTCCAGGGTATTTTCTGAATAAGTGAATGAATGAACAAATACCCCTTTTGTCTCTCGGCTTCCTCTTCATCTATGGAAGGTACTGTGACCTATAACAATGTGGACAGTTTAAGAATGCAGTAAGACCTGCATCACCAGGCCTTGATGGTCTGAATGTCGTTACATTTTTTGTAGTCTTCATTACACACTGGAAACATCTGTGTGGCGTGAGGCTTCCATGGGAACAGCTTTATATGATCCAGCTTTGGTAATGGTCAGTAATAATGTCACATAAAATTTCCCTTCCAATATAACATGTGTACCTACCATAATCTGGGAGTAATCTTACCAAAATAGTCATGAGGTAAAACTGCTCTTTTTTTTTCTTGTAAAACTTATTTGAAATAGTAAAACACACGGGGTCAATAACCGTTAACACAATGTCAAAGCAGTATTTAACTGGTACAGTATTCTCATTCATCTAAGCTATCACTTAGGCATTTCTCTTACCTCTTTTACAATGTTGCTCACTTCATCAACAACAAAAGCAGTCTGTAAGGAAGAAAATTAGGTTAAGTTTGATTTACTTTAAAAAGCAGTTTCCGTTAATAAATGCAAATTTAGGTAAGAACATAACTTAGAAATGAAGATTTTAGAAATTATCTATTAGGCTGTTCATTTTATGGAGGATTGTATTACAAGGAGCCTCTGAAACATTAAATGGCCCCAAGCACCAAAGAACTCTAGGATCAAGCCAAGCCGCAGTAGGACTAGATAAAGCATGTGTATATAATTTAAAGGTTTTTTTGGTTTTTTTTTGGTTTTTTTGAGGTACTGGGGATTGAACTCAGGACTCTGCACTTGCCAGGCAAGCACTTATTCTACTGAGCGATCTCCCCAGCCCTTGCTTTGTTTAAATCATGCTACAGTCTAAAACTTCACTATAAACTAGCATTCATCTCCCCTTCCATTTCAACTGGCTGTTGAGATCATTAATCAGTACGGTGTTTAATGAATTACTTGACTTGAAGAAATTAATTGAATCAGCTTAGGCATTTATTATATTGTCCTTCTTCCCTGATAGGAGGGAGGTATAAAACTGAAAGAGGTGTTTTTTTTTTTTTTAAACATTTATTTATTTATTGTGTGTATGTGTGTGTGGGGGGGGCAGCTCAGCCCACCAGGGGGCAGGGCTGGCTGGCATGTGGTGCTGGGGGATTGAACCGCGGTCCCTGTGCTTTGCCAAGCTTGTTCTAAGTAGGTGCTTTAGACCACTGAGCCATCTCGCCAGCCCTGTTTTTTTCTTTTTTAAAGCTACCATTAGTCACAAAATTTACAATGATTAAACTATACCTAGATGATGATCGTTTGGTATTGGGAACTGAAACCTCGCTAGGTGAGTGTTCTACCACTAAGCTACACCTTTTAAAATTATTTTAGGGCAGTGTCTCACTCACTGAGTTTTCCAGGCTGTCCTTGAATTTCACAATCTGGCCTCAGCCTCGCTAGTAGCTGGGATTATAGGAAGTGGCACCATGCCTGGCTCAGATTTTTTTTTTTTTTTTTTTTTTGTCTTTTTGAGACAGGGCCTCACTATGCAGCCCAGACTGGCCTTGAGCTCACTTTGTAGCCCAGGTTGGTCTTGAACTCACAATGATCCTCCTGCCTCAGCCTCCTGAGTGCTGGGATTACAGCAAGCATGCCGTCCTACTTGAAGACTAACTAGCAGCTGATGAGGGAGGATGGCTGCCAGTAGCAACCTACGGCCTGAAGTAGAGATTTCCTTACTTTTTACATATGGTAGATTCAAATAGATAAAGGTCATTGGCCAGGGGCCAGGGAGATGGCTCAGTAGAATAAGCACTTCCCTGGCAAATGCAAGGGCCAGAGTTCAATCCCCAGTTCCGGGGGGGAAAGAAAAAAAGATCATGGGACAGTAACATCTGTGAGGTGCTTGCCAATGTGCTTCTTCACATACTATGCTGAGTCTCCACTCTCCTTAGCTCAGGACATGCTATGGAGAGGGCAGGCCCTGGGCTCTGGGGGAATAAGGGCAGGAAGCCCTGCTTTTTCCTCTTTGCATGGCTGCTGACCAGGGCGGCCCTGTCCTCTTATAATTTCTTTTCAGAGGAACAAGGTCTTGCCACCTATCTCAATTCCCTATATTCAAAAGAAGCCATACTTGGAAACAAAATCAGATTACCACATTAAGGAAAATGCACAGTATCTTAGAGTAAATAATTTCTAGAAGCTTAAAGATCTCTTCCAAGTGACTAGAGTGATCCTAAACCATAGAGGACAGTCCCTATATAATCTTCCACCTGGCTAGCGTATGAAAAGATACGATATTTTAGTGGAAAGTAAAGCAGACTGAAAACACTGGACAGTTTCAACTGCAAGAAAGCTGACCAAGTTGAGTAGAATACCCATGGACTGGAGTACATGCAGAACAGGCATAGCTGAGGGGTTAGTAGGGCGCTGGGACAATCTAGTAATCACCAAAGGCAAACCTAGCAGGGGACGGTTATGGTCCCTCCCAGGGCTGTTATCTTGTTTTAAACAGCCCTTCACTTCCCATATAGCTCACTTCTGTCTGGAATAATGAATCACTTAGCCACCTCGCTCAAGAAAGCCTGAATTAGAATGCAGTAGTAAAGAGTTTTCTCTTCCAAGGCTGTTTCCTTTTTAAAAACTTTTACTTGGTGTTAATATAATACAAATCATTTTCCAATCTTAAGTGGGACCGCTTTTCCTTTGGTAGCGGCTCCTGCACTGTGTCCTGTCCTACATACTCGGTTGCTATGAGCATGCAAACACTAGTGACACTGCTATAGAAACTCTGTGTTAGGAAATTAGGTGAAAACAAAATCTAGTGAAAATCCTTAAAACGAATTTTTTCTCAAAATATTCCTGGCTGAGATAATCTTCAAAAATGGTAACTATTAAACCTTACCGAATTGTTTTATAGTTCTTATTTCTGACAGGCCACATAGTACGGAGCTGTTTGAATTTCAACAAAGATAGGAAGGAAAAGCATGAGCAACTCTTCTTGAAATCCCCCCCCCCCCAAACAGGGATTGAACTCAGTCAGGCCCTTGTGCTTGCCTGAGTTCAATAAGGCAAGCGCTTATTCTACTGGGCCATCTCCTCAGCCCGGATGAGCAATTCTTCTAAGCAGCCCGGCCATCAGCTCTGTTCACTGAATTCTTCTAAGTTTTGTTTTGTTTTTGGTGATGCTGGGATCAAACCCATGACCTTGTGTAAGCGAGGCAAGAGCTCCACCTCCGAGCCACATCGCAGCCCCTTGAATTCTTCTTTGACTGAAGGAATAGCCCTTTTAACAGCGCCCCACCTTCTGTTTGGCAAATAATTACGCACTTTACTTCCTATGGGGCAATAACACCCACCACTACCGCGAGAATTAATCTTACGAACATCTCAAACTCAAGCTGAAATAAAATGTACTCGTGCAGGCTGGCTGGGTGGGAGTGGGCGCAGCAAGGACAAGGTGCGGTGCCGAAGACAAAGGCAGGTTGTGCTATTTGCATGCCTGCATCTGGCGTGCAGCCTGGACATCAGACCCCTAGAGAACGGACTGGGCGACGGTCTTGTACGCCCATATCGCGCATGCAAACTGCTCAGGACTCTGCGTTAAAAGTGCAGGCTCCAGCCCTCGGTTCCTGGACCTGGGGCACCGTGGGGGCCGGACTCGGGTCCGAAACCGGGATAAAGGGCAGAGTGATGTCATCCTCCCGGTGGACGCCGCGGACTGCGAGGCCGGGTCGGGGCGAGGCTCCCCGGCGCCTCGAGCTCAGACGCTCTCTCCGCCGGTCCCGGGCAGGGGTGGAGGCCAGGCCCCGCGCCCTCCAGGCCGGGGAACGGCCGCCGCGGAGCCCAGGTGGATTGCGGGGCGCCGGGGTCCTTAGCCCCTGGCCGGGGAGCTGCGGCCAGCCAGCCGTGGGAAGAAGGCAGCCAAGGGTACCCCAACAAGGCTGCGCCCGCCAGTCCAGAGATCTCGGCCTCCCGCCCCTCGTTCCAGTCGCCGCCGGGCGGTTACCTCCTCCGAGCCCTGGTAGTCTTCCATCTTTGCTCCCGCAAGTCGCCTCTGCCGCCCGAGTAGAGAGAACTGAGCAGGCGCGCTTAGGCCCCGCCCATGCCACCCCACGCTCCGGCCACGCCCACGCTCCGGCCACGCCCTCGGCCCGCCCACGGTCGCAGCCCCTCCGCGGGCTCCGAGTCTCAGCAGCCTAGGGCGGGGCCCCGCGGTGCACCCTAGTGGGTGCCGGCTCGAGTTCTCCTGGAGGTGGTGGTTTCCATTAGAGCCCGTCCAGACTCCAGTCCCGGGCAGGAAGCATCACCTCGGCCCCTCCCTCCAGCTCGTACGGTGTGGAGCAGTTGGAACTTTCTGAGGGCTCCGACAGCTAGTGACCAATTATAAAGTGACTTCTGAAGGTAAGACACAATGTGAAATATTGATTACGGTCCTCTTGAACAAAACTTTGAAGAGGTAAGAGGTAAATTTCCGTGTACAGTAAATGAACAATTTTCCTTTAAGCATCTTGTAAAATTTTTTCGCAGGGTGAGTGACAGGTCTCAGGTGCACCACCCTCCTTGGCTTCTTTAACCAGTGAGCCGACCCAGACTTGATTTGTGTCCAGGGATCTTGGGAAATGAGCAATTACACCATGTCCTGTAGGCTGCTCTCCATGAAGGGCTGGGGGCATGTGCACCTGTTTGTGTGTATGCTAAATTTGGAATCTACTTTTTCCATGCGCTTGAAATTGAGTTGTCTGTATCCACTGGAACCTGTTGCATATCCTCCTAGGAAGAGCTGACGATAAGGAGGATCCCAGGAATTTGGCAGACTAAACTTCAGACTCCACTCAATCCATCACAGCAACCCTAGCTCCTCGCTATAGGCTCCCCACCCTGGCGCAAGGTTGGCATCTCTCACTTAGATTATGATGGCCACTGATCCACGCTCTTAACAGGGCACTTCCGAGGGAGTCTCCCTTTCCAAGGACACTTCCTTTCTCTGTCCCATTCTGCCTTGCCATGGGTCAGTATTCCCAACATTGTTAGTCTACAGACTTGTTCTTGATGATCCTCAGACAGTTAACTGTGACAGATCTTAGCTCCGCATCTCCTCTACAGAGAACCCCTTTCTGACCTCTCTGACTTCTCCATCTAAGGCAGCCTTCCCCTTATTTTCTGTTCCTGCATCTTGTACCTTTCCTTCCTAGCATTGTTCTCAGTATGGAAGGATGCATTTGTGGTTACCTCTGTAGTGTGTGTGTGTGTGTGTGTGTGTGTGTGTGTGTATTTGTGTGTTATCTTTCCAGCTAGACTAAATTCCTTGCAGGCAGTAAGAATTCATCTTACTCCCTAATGTATCTCTTCTGACATCTTGGGTGGCACACAAAGTTTACTGAATGAATGAGTGAATGAATGATTTCCCCAGGAGTGTTGGCTCTGTCCCAGACCCAAATGGGAACAGGGAGTGGAGTGCCACGTTGTGGGACACAAAGCTTCCAGAGGAGGGCAGAGTAGACCCAGAGCCTGTGTCCTGGATGTGAGGGCAAGCTAGTTGATCTGCTCCTCAGATTCTGAACTTTAGGCTCTTTTCTTGTTATGTGGCTTCAACTTGCCAGTGTTTCAGACTTGTGCCTCAGTCTACATAGGGTTCTACTATTGCTTTGTCTTCTTGCCACTCCTGACTTTACCTGAGGTCCTCTTTTAGGTGACTGTCCCCACCTACCTGGCTCCAGGCCCTGAGCCCCCCCATGATCCTGAACCGAAGGCCTTTTAGCTCTTCTAAATTTCTTCTGCTACTTTGAGTTTCCCTGGCTAAATTTCTGCAAATTATGTGTAAAGCAAAGTCAATAAGTACTGAGTAACCACCTGCAAATAAAGAGTGTGATTTTTGGGACAGCTATTTTATTTCCTTCACAACCTTTTAGAAACTTTCCAATTCAAATGAATTTCCTAAATGGCTGCAGTAATTGTACATTATCGCTGCATAGGTCTTAAGTAGCATTATAAATAAAGATCATCAACAGTGCAGAAATCAACAGAAATCATATAAATGTGCCTTTTAAAGAAATTTACATGACTTCATAGTAGGCATTGGGTACTACTTTCCAATTTTAGCTATCAAAGGACATTCACACTCACCGGTCCAATTATTCAAATATAGGGTGAACCAAAAAGGCATTTTACATTAATTTCTATAAGGTAATATAACAAGAAATACAAACACAACAAATTCATCAAATTTATTCAATACAGAAATCAAATGGTTGAAATGACACCTGCCCGAGGGGTGCTTGGGATAGTCAGTACATACACATGGTGCCCAAGTGACACTGGGTGTAAACTGGTAAGGGGTGAAATGATCATGGTGGTTGCCATTGTTTAATCTTCCCAGTAAATGAATGAGTTAGTATTTTTATCTTCTGAGCTATTTGTTCTCTCACTCAACACACATACCTCCCTTTGCCGAGTGTGGTGGTCCACAACTGTAATCCCAGCACTTGGGAGGTTGAGGCAGGAGGATTGCTGTGAAGTCAGTCTAGGCTACCTAGCGAGTTCAAGGCCAGCCTGAGCTACATAGTGAGACCCTGTCTCAAACAACAACAAAATAATAATAATAATAATAATAATATTGCCTTTGAGTCAGGCTCTGAGCTGGGGTTGGCACTGCACAGTTGACTAAAATGTGGCATTTATGGAATGTTTTAAAACACCACTTTCTGTTACTGGGAGGGTTTAATTCTCTAGGCTTATGTGATGTCACACATATCACGTAATGACAGTAGAGATGTGGGATCATATTCTGCGTAATTGATGCGCAGGCTACAGTACCAAGGAATCTAAAGCAGTGTGGCACCTGGCGGTGGATGGCTGTTGCCAGCACCTTCATCTTCCAGGAGTTGCCGTCCTTCAAGAGCACTGCAGCATAAGCACGTGGATTCACTATACTAGAACTCTCTGGCACTCTATTCCACTTTAGAATAAAGCTTAGTTTCTATATAGCAGTTCTGTGGAGTGAAGCAGGTTTGTTTTCCGACTGAGAGGCACGTCACACATTGGCAAATGTTGTGTGCAATCACCCTTTTCCCTCTGAGCTGTCTCTTAAACGCCAGCTCTGGGCCTGGGAGAGTAGTTCTCTGGTAGAGCACTTGCCTAGCTTGTGTGAGGATTTGATCCTCGGCACCGGAAGACAACAGGCCACCCCTGTTGAAACAGGTGCTGGAGTTGCTGGTAGCTTTACTTAGTAAATATAGTTGAATAGTAATCGACAAATTGGCAGGTCAACAGTAGTGTTCATAATACTTGAGTACTGGTTTGCTGTTTATGATCTGCGGTCCCTTACAACCCACATCTGATGGATATTTGATAGTGTCTTTCCTTTTCCTGAGCCTGAGTATGTTACTGAGATATTCTGGGGAGTTGTATTAAGTCAAGGAAGAGGAGAAGGAAGGGAGGAGCAATGTCAGGATGCTCAAGTCTAAGAAACTTAATGGAATGTGAAAGAAAGTCAACTTCTGGCTGACCCATCTAAAGTGAGGATCCTGTGCTGAGAAATCGCAGGCTAAGGAGATTAGCTAAGAAAGACCTCTGTTTGCAGGTCAGAAGCGCTGGTACAGCTGTGCTGAAATGTCTGTGTATGTGCTGCCAAAGCAAGCACTAATGCCTCTGTACCAGCTGCTGTTCTGGCTGCCACGGCCCTTCCTCAGGCACCTTTCCCCAAGAGCCAACAGCTAAAGCCTAACTGATGCCACAGGAGGGGATTCCAGCTGACACTTATCCATACTGGTCTACATTCATGCTGGAGTAGTTATTAAATAGTTTCATTATCTGTTCTGTACATAGGAAAAAATATACACTCAGTCAGAATAAGGTAAGTTAGCTGCAGAAACAAATGACCCTAGGTTCATTGGTTGATGACAGGAAAGGCTAACTTGTCACAAGGAAGGATGTGCTCTGCCCCACGTCTTCCTCACACTGGGATGATAGGGTGGTCCCTCTGGGGTCATCAAGGGAGAGGGTTGTGACCTGAGTACTGGTTAAGCAGATGCTCCTCCTGAGTGGCATGTGCCTCCTCTGGACAGATTACATCAATCAGTGCAAGTCTTCGGCCACACCTGAGTTAACAGAACCTGTCACTGACGGCAAGGGTCATGCGACCTACTGTACATTGCAGGCTGAAGCTTGTCATCTTGGTGGTTATCCCAGTCACCATCCCAGCTGTTCTGCCTTTTCAGTGCTAATCCACACAGCTCCCAAGCCCTTGCCAGCCCTCGATTCCCTTACTTTGCTTTCAGATTTAGTATTTCATGCTCAGAGTAACACCAGTTACATGCTCTCCTTGCCAACTCTTTCATTTGTCTTTTGTAGCAAAGCCTTAGATCATTGTCCTCCAAACTTCTTTAGCTATGCCTGTGTAGCAGGAATAATTTCTTAGCCATGTCTCTTAGATTTAAGTTTATTTAAGTGATATAGTCAACTCTAAATCCATTTATTTAACATTAATAAAGTCTTAGCTTTTGAAAAATAAATGAAAAGTTCTAACATTTTCTTAGTATTATCTCACTGTTATGGTTTAGGTTATGTCACCATCAAAATTCATATTTTTGAGTCAGGTGTAGTGGTGCATACCTGTAATCCCAGCATTCGAAAGAGGATTGCTGTGAGTTCAAGGCCAGTCTGAACTAGACAGTAAAACCCTGCCTCAAAAAGCAAACAAACCAAAAAAAGAAAAAAAAAATCCTAAGTTCATACCTTAGAATGTGACTTTATTTGACAATAAGATCTTTAATGAGATGACTTAAGAAAACTTAAGTCATATGCTTGGTCCTTAAACCAATATGATCTATGTCCATTTAAGAAGAAGAGTTTAGGACATAGGTGACCTGTGAAGACATCTGTTTTACATAGATAGATACAGATACAGATATAGATAGATATATTGATATATAGATAGATATAGATATCTATCTGGCAGAGGAATTATAACCTGAATATATAAAGAACATCTATAGTCAATAAGAGAAAGGTAGATGACTCAACTGAAAAATATAGGTGAAAAAACTTGAACAACCTCATGTAAAAGTAAATAAATGATCGAAGAACATATAAAGTGATACTCAAATTGCTCGCCTACATTAAACATCTTGTAAATGCACATTACAACTATAATGTGAGACCGCTACACACCCACCTGCCTGGATAAGAAAAGAAAGATATCATCAAGTAGTGATGAGTATATGGAGTCACTGGAAACTTGCTCATATGAGTGTGAATTAAGATAACCATTTTGGAAAACTACTTGACAGCGTCTAGCATGGAGTGTATTTCTGTGACCCATAAATTCTACTCCTAGACACATAAGCAACAGGAATGTGACAGATTTTTATTGAAGAAACTATACAGAAATGTATGTAGCTGTC